ATTGTTTTGAAATAGCGTTCCTGAGTGATCGAGAAATGAGCGCGTACTATTCAAGATTGAGGAGGAGCACGTTGCAAAACCTCGCCGAGCATCAGTAAGTTGCTTATTATCCGATGAATGACCGAAACTTCGTTATAAAACTTGTCCGTCTCATTAAGTTACGAACATTCGAAAACTGTGCGAAATCAGACCAATGTACCCTTTCAGATTTTTTCGATGTACCCTTTGAGTATTTCGTCGATGTACCCCATGAGAGTTGCTTAAATGTACCCTATCAGTCAATGTACCCTCTGAGTCAATGTACCCTATAAGAGTGATGTACCCTTTTTCGATGTACCCTCGGAGTATGGGCCAATTTTATAACATAAAACCGCAAAACACAAAAATTGATTTCTGAAAATAGATGAGAAAACCCTTTAAATATTTTTAACTTCTGTTTTTTTTTCTAATTTTTCAGTATTCTCTTCAAATTCGCACCATAACGTCGCTTGTCGCCAACAAAATAGTCCCTCCTCCTCGAGGAGTACACGGGCGCGCGGCCTAAGATTTTCACTCTCCCCTCCTTTTTTTCTTCCATCTTCTTTTCTTCTCATTGTTGCGAGGCGAGAGTTTGTTTAATCATTTTTTCCACCAATCAACTAATTTTTCTGGTATGTTTCTTCGCAAAATCAAAATAGAAATTTTTTAATTATTTTTCTTGAAGGCTCATTTGTCCGCTCTCTCTTAATAACGATTTTATGACCTTTTCCGCTATAATTTACTGTTACTTTGCAGGTAAAAACATATGAAGATACACATCACATCGATATTCATTTTATTAGCAGTAGGAACTTCGCCGAGCGGTGAGTGTTTATGCAAATTATCGATTTCTAGAGCCAATATTGTTTCAGATGCCTTCAACACACGGGTAAAACGTCATGCGCCTGTGATTTTTCAAAAGAGTACGCGCTCTTCGATTATTTATTTTGATTTCTTGGGTGAGCAAACTTTATTGATTTTGCCAGCAGACAGTGAGAACAATAAAAAATTTCAGGACAAGAGTATGTGATAGATTTGATCCCAAACCATTCGGCGTTTCATCAAAAATTCAAAGTTTACACACAAAATGGTCCTCAATTTGTCGCCCGAGAAGAGTATATTGGCACCGTTCGAGGTAATAAGCAAAAAATGAAATCAATAAAAAACAATACATTTTTCAGAACCGAGAAAAGGTACCGGAGTGCTTACTCATCTGGAAAACGGCGAATACATAGGAATTCTCTATTTTGACAACGATACTCTTCATCTTGAGCCTGCTTATCCTCATGGATTGTCAGAAGATGTAGGAAAGATTGTTGGGTATTTTGGGTCTGATGTCGATTTGAAACTTGACCTCGCAGCTTTACCACACCGGTATCAGGTAGGAATTCAAATATATGAATAGAAGGGAACACATTTGTTTCAGGTATCTTTCCGTCCCTCCAACCCTCTACTGAAACACAAACGAGCTATCAGCATCGCTTCATCAACGTCTCCAACCACAACCACAACAAGAAGTGATGTTCACAACGAAAAACGGAATCGATGTTCGTTGAAATTAGTCGCTGATTACTCGTTCTACTCGATCTTTGGAAAAAATAATACAGGAATTGTTACAAAGTTCCTTGTTAATATGATTGCAAGAGTGAATGAGATCTACAATCCGGTCAATTGGGACGTTGGAAGAGAAGAAGGGATCTCGGGGAGAGGACGGTGCGTGTTAAAATAATTTTCAAAGAAATATCCTAATTTTTTAATTTCAGATTCCAAAATATGGGATTTTCCATCAAAGAAATCAAAGTGTTCGATCGTCCCAACGCGTCGGATGCTCACTACAATTCATACTCCAGGCAGTGGGAATCTGAGAAGCTTCTCAAGGCAGAAACTTCCCCATTTTCTTACATTTCAACCACAACATTTTCAGGAATTTGCATTTGCCGAAGGATCAAAAGACTTTTGTCTGGTGCATCTTGTAACGGCGCGTACATTCAAAGAAACTTCCACACTGGGCCTTGCATATCTGAGCCATCGGACGTGGGATGATACGGCCGGAGGAATATGCTCCAAACCAGAAACATTCAATGGCAAAATTGCGTACATCAATGTGTTGTTGTCCACGTGTTTTGCCAACATGGAACAGTCGACTTATCCGTTGATCACGAAGGAAATCGATATTGTGGTCTCACATGGTAAGAATCACATCTTGCGCGACACCTAACTACTTGATAATTATTCTTTGAAATATTTATTCGTGACTTCTGTCACCATCTCAAAGTGCAATTGAGAATTATCGAACAGCAGAAAATCTTCGATATTTCAGAATATGGTCATGCTTGGGGTGCGAACCACGACTCAACCATGTTCAGTGATGATCCAGATGTAGATGAGTGCAGTCCAAACGACCAGGATGGAGGAAAGTATCTTATGAGTCCCTATGCTCAAAGAGGATACGATCAAAACAATGTGGTGAGTATTTCTCAATCAAATTGTTTTCAAATTTTTTTATAAGGAAAAGTTTACACTTAAAGGTGATGTACGGTGAAATTTTTTATTGCATCAAAATGTGCAGAAATGCATGTAGATTGGCATAAAAATAAAGAAAAAATTCAAAAAAAATTCCTTCATCGAGAAAAACGCATCGAAAAGTACGCTGAAAGCCCTTAGGGACGAGCTTTTTTTCTAGGCCGCCCGGTGAGTAAAAGCGCGCAAATTCAAACTTTAAAAATTTTTTTGCTCG